TCATGGGATGTTATGCACAGTATTTCCTACTCTGAAGCTCTAATTTGCTCACCTAACAAGAATACTCTAAAAGTATCGCTCCTTCGTTGTATGATGGTGTAGAAAATTCTAAGATCCACCTTCTTTCTGCTGTGTGAGAGACATGTGCACTCAAAAACACAATGAACCAACAATAAACAAAAAAATCAAGATGGGAGAGTGGCCACAGATGCGGGTACTTATAAGACAGAATCAATCACCTTATGAGATTAGTTCTCTTGGTTTGTGGGCCTGGGGCCATGGCCTCCTGTAGCAATCCAGAGGGATTAATTTAATGTAGTTATTAAAGTATATGGTCTACCTCCCACTATGGGCACAGTAGAGTCTGAAATCTTAAAAGCTTACCAGCAGGTCTCTACTCACCTGGAACCAGAGAAGGAGCCAGACTACAAGACTAAATGCCTCCACAACCACCCCACCACCTCCACCAGAAGAACTAGACGGTGCCCAGCTAGCACACGGATATTCCAATCAGGGGCGCAACAGCGACATCTTGATAAAAAGGGAAAAGGATGGAACAGAAGTTGAAATGCATAAAGATCAGACTTATCGGGCCTAAGGAGGTTATGGAGCTGGGAGGAGCCCCAGACGATGGCCCTGCGTTGTTCTTTAAAGCTTCAGTTAAAACCATCACTCTCCAAACACCTCTATCTTAAGTAACCAGTTAGTCCAAAAGGCCAACACCCTTGAGTATTGTGTATTAAAAAAAAAAAATTCTCCCTCAACGCAGGAACACTTTGTTCTAATAACCTGGCATTCCGTGACCCCCAGCTTCCTTACACGATCACAGAGGACAAAGTGGGTACATAAGCAAATGTGGTGAGGGAAGCTGATGGTGCCCAGCTATGAAAAGATATGGCATCTGGGGTCTTAAAGGCTTGAAGATAAATAAGCTGTCATCTAGCTGAGAAGCAACAAAGTCCACATGGAAAAAGCACGCCAGCCTGTGTGATCATGAGGTGTTGATGGGATCAGGTATCAGGCATCAAAGACCCAGAACAAAAAATCCTATCAATGTGAATGAGGGGGAGTTCGGAGTAGAGACCCAAAGCC